CATGTCTTGAAAAATCAGTACATACGAAAATCCGTTTCGGCTGAGGGGAAATGGACCCATGATATCAGCCGCTACGATAGTCCATGGCTGCTCTATGACCCTCTTTCCCATTAATCCAATTGGTCCGGCTTGTTCCACTTTCATCTTTTGACAAGTTTCGCAAGAACGGACATATTTTGCTACATCTCTTAATACTCCCGGCCAATAATATAACAACGCTAATCTAGCGTGTGTCTTTTCGACACCTAAGTGGCCGGAAGTGGGAGAGTTGTGTGCTTCCTCTAGAGCTTTATTTCGAAGGTCATGGGGCAAAACCAATTTCCATGAATCCAGATCGGGCAAGACCAAATCAGTGATCGAATTCGGACGGTAAACATATAACTGATTATTTTCTACTTTCCAATCCGGAAACTGATGTGGCATTTCCGGTACGGTTTGTAATTTATGAAGGTACCATGGATCGTCAGTCTCAAAAATTGAGGCTATTTTATCCGGTTCAACTTCATGCATACGCGAAAGCGCATCTGGAACGTGGTGTAGGGCACCCTTGCGATGTGTTATTTTGAAATCATATTGCAATAATTCAAGGGCCCATCGTCCTAATCTTCCAGAGGGATCCTTGAGATTATATAGCCATCGCAAACTACTATGGTCTGTTATAACCTCAAAGAAATATCCCTCGAGATATGGTCGAAATTTCTTAACTGCCCTCACCACGGCCAGGCATTCTTGTTCCGTTACCGTATAATTACGTTCCGCTGCATTCATAGTACGGCTTGCATATGCAATCACATGTTTTACTCCATCTATATCTTGGGTGAGAACTGCACCAAGACCTGTACTACTTGCGTCGGTTTGTAATCGGAACGGAAGGATAAAGTCAGGACGAAATAAAGTTGGCCTGCATGGTTTTTTTATTTTTGATATTGAAGTCGTTCCCGATGTAATTTTGTGCGCTGAACACGATTCCGTGTCCCAAAATGGCCCAGCACGTCAGAATTTTGAGAAAAGTTGGGGGTAAAGAGCCCAAAAACCGTGTTTTTGGGTGTTTTCAAGAATTTTTTTCTCCTTAACCTGACGTGCTAGAAACTTCTACTAGGTCTTAAATTAAAGCTTAAAGTGTGCACTTTGAGACCTATATGCGAAGTAAAAAAAAACTTAAGGGATTTTGAGAAAAGTGGGGGTAAAGAGCCTAAACAACGTGTTTTTGAGTGTTTTCGAGAATTTTTTTCTCCTTAACCTGACGTGCTAGAAACTTCTACTAGGTCTTAAATTAAAGCTTAAAGCGTGCACTTTAAGAACCATAAGCGCAAGTCAAAAAAAAATTAAGGGATTTTTAGAATAGTGGGGGTAAAGGGCACCAAAAAAAATTTTTTTTCACCCTAAAAACGTGTTTTTTTTATTTTTTTACCCCCACTTTTGTCAAAATCCTGACGTGCTAGGCCATTTTGGGACACGGGATCGTGTTCAGCGCACAAAATTACATAGGAAACGACTTCAATATCAAAAATAAAAAAAAAGTCGAATTTTGCAGGCCTGTGTAATTAGTCACCGGTTCGACTTTTTCTGGGTCAGCATGACAACCATCTTTATTGATAAGGTAACCTAAATATTTTACCTCACTACATCCGAATTCACTCTTATCTCTGTTTATCGTCAGTCCCGCTTTCACTATCACATCCAAAACTCGTTCAAGCCAATATGTGTGTTCTTCGAACGTTTCCCCTACTACGATAATATCATCCATGTAGGCGAACGCGTATGGTTCGAATTCAGGAGTTATTAATGAATCTAAGAGTCTTTGAAATCTCGCGGGAGATCCTGATAAACCGAACGGTAATCTTTTGTACTGAAACAAACCTAATCCAGGTACGGAAAAAGCAGTATATTGTTTACTTTCTTCGGAAAGCGGAATCTGATGGAAAGCTGAACCTTAATCAATTTTCGAAATATACCTAGCTGAGCGTAACTTATCCAGGATTTCGCCCATATCCTTCATAGGATAGGCATCCTTTTTCGCTATCTCATTTAATCTTCGAAAGTCTACGCATAACCTATAAGTACCATCCGATTTCAGCGCCATAACAATGGGATTACACCATTCACCAAAGGAAAACTCGATTATATCTTCTTCTAACAATTCTTGAGCCTTTTTCTGAACCGCTTCCAGTACTTTAGGCGAACATCTCCTAAAATTTTGTTTAATAGGGGGATGGCCTTGGACATCTATAGAATGCTTTACTAAATGTGTATAAGGAAGTTTAAGTGGCTTTGGTGGTATTTTTCGGTCTAATAAAAATTTAAAGGTTTCTATTTGTGTATGACCTAATTCTTGTAACCCTGCACAAGGTGAGAAAGTATCCTTTACCAAAACCTGTCTAGTTTTAACTAATTCCTTTGTGATCTCATTTCCTTCGTAGGAGTGCCATGCTCCTTTTCCTAACCTCCAAATCCTATCTTTAAATTTAATTTCAAAGTCAAAAATTTCCGCGAAATCATGCCCTAATAGTACTTCACAGTCTAGCGTATGAGCAAAGCGGATAGGTACCGAATTTGTAGAATTTAAAAATTCTACTGGTAAATTAACTTGACCAATAGTTTTCTCTACGACGCCATTGGGATATAAAATCCCCGGGGTCGTTTGAGAAGAAAGGTTCTCGATAATGTTATTAAATTTTCCGATGGCTTGTTTCCCGATGTAAGTGCCGCAAGAACGGGGGTGAAACAAACCATGGACTTTTCGACCACAGGGTCGATTCCGTAACTTTTCCACATCCCACTTTCCACTTCCCACTTCTCACTTCCCACATCTCACTTCACACATCCCACTTTCCCACATCCCACTTTCCCACATCTCACTTCCCACATCCCACTTCTCACTTCCCACTTCTCACTTCCCACTTCTCACTTCCCACATCTCACTTCCCACATCTCACTTCCCACATCTCACTTCCCACATCTCACTTCCCACATCCCACTTTCCCACATCTCACTTCCCACATCCCACTTTCCCACATCTCACTTCCCACATCCCACTTCCCACATCTCACTTCCCACTTTCCCACATCTCACTTCCCACATCTCACTTCCCACTTCCTACTTTCTTACTTTTTCACATTTTCAGTTTCTCACTATCCACTTTTTCTTTTTCTACTTCCCACTTCCTACTTTCTTACTTTTTCACATTTTCAGTTTCTCACTATCCACTTTTTCTTTTTCTACTTCCCACTTCCTACTTTTCCACTTTCTCACTTTCTACTTCCCCACTTTACACTTTCTTACTTTCCACTTACTAACCATTTTATCTTTTAATTTCCCAATTTCTATTTTTCACTTTTCATTTCATAATTTCCCACTTATTACTTTCGATTTCCCACATAGAAAAAACACTGTGGTTGGAGCAACCATATATATTGAAAAATACGGGATATTCATTTTATATGGATACCACATAAAAAAATGAGAAATGTAATAATAATAATATAATAAATGTAATAATAAATTTATTATATTATTATTATTACATTTCTCATTTTTTTAGGTGGTATCCATATAAAATGAATATATATAAATGAGAAAGTAAAAAAAATTATGTGTTATTTAGGATCATCAAAATTGATTACTTTTTAAAAAATAAAATTGATCTGATTTTTGGGAAAAATATAGATTTTATTTTTGTTTTAAATCTAAAGTTTAAAAACATGAGAAAAAATATATATACAATAAATTACAACAAAACTTGAGTAACAAAATAAATTTTTAAAACTAATATTCTACGTGAAATATTCCTGAATTATTGCATTTCTGACTTGATCATCATCCTCGTTATAATTTTCTTCATGGGGAACCTGTTCTTCATGCTGTTCCTCTCCATCAATATCGACAACGTTTTGTAAACGGTAATGCTTGCGAATGTTGTGCAAGACACAACAGGAATTCACTATTTTACCTAATAAAAATAATTTGACATTTAGGTAGGCTCCCCTTTCTTAAATTGTGACGTACTTAGACTAGAGATGCAATATCGATATCGGAATATTGGAAATATCGATATTTTTGTCTCGATATTTCGTATCGATATTTTATATACGATATATCGATACGAATATCGATATTTATCTGTCGATATCAATATTTTAATGTTTAATAAAAGTTTTTCCTTCCTTGCATTGAGATTTTAGGAATTTTGACGAGCCCTGCTTTTGTCCCACCGTGTCCTGCGCCTAACGTTTACGCGCCATATGATTCTACCTTTAAGCTTTGCATATATGCCAGATTGTGAACTTAACGTTAACGTACGCACCGTCAAACTAACCGACCGTTCTTTCTTCTTTGTATATTACTATATTTCAAGTTTATGCAAATGTAAACAGTTAAAAATTGAACGTTCAAAATTAACGCATTAATTCCATGCAATTAATTCAATCGAAATTAGTTAATCTTATTTTGAATGATTACTACGCAAATAAAAAGTAGGAACAATTAAAAAGGTATGTATGCGACTAAACATTTTCTGTACTTATAGTTGAAGCTATATAGTACAAATAATAAATTTTTATTCTTGATCAAGTATGTACAAAAAGAAATTTCATATTAATAAATAAAATTTGTTCTCTTTAACTTATTTCATTTTAATTAAAGATTCTAAAAGTGTTTATGTAAAACTCGAAATTTTTTTGACAATTTACGTGACATAACCTCTAAGTATGAACAATATAGACATTTATTTTATAAAAAAGAATAAGAATCAAATATGTACTTGAATGAATTTACTTGTATTGTTTTTATATTACAACCTCTTCACAGAAAAACTAATAATATTGTAAATTACTTTTATTAAACGTAATGTTATTAATTACTGTTATAATTTCTTATTCTTATTATTATTTCGGGTTATTATAATTCATTTGTTATACTTATTTATTTCCTATTTGATTAATATATTGCTATTAGTTTAATTATATTTAATTTACAGGTAATTAATTCCATGGACTTGTAAAATGAGCGGCGGTTCAAGTCCTGTGCGAAAGCACTTTTTACCTACAGATCAGAAAAACGTCATGCAATGTAAATATTGTTCAGGACCTCATTCGCTAGTGAAATGTTCTAGAAACACAACAAATATGTTTAACCATTTGAAGATAAATCACATTGAGATTTATAATGCGCTGATGACAGAAATTGAAAATAAAAAATCGAACAACCTACTGAAACGAAAACACGAAAGTAACGAAAATTCAACGTCGACGAATCAATCAACTAGCGCGCAAAACAATGAATCTGTTAGTTCTAGTGCAAGCAAACCTTCGACGACTACTAAGCCAAGCGAACCATCAGGCAGGGAAAATATTAAAACATCTTTCTCAAATGTGTCATCGTTTCAAGAAGGAGGTACTAAACACAAAATTCTTACAGATAAAATTTCACTAATGATCTGTAAAGATAATGAACCTTTTGCAATGGTAGAAAGAGAAGGATTTCAAAAAATGATGAAATTTGCAGTTCCCAATTATAAAATTCCTTCTAGGCAAACGTTTCTTAATCACTTGGATTCAAAATACAACACGGTATCTGAAAAGTATAAGAAACTTTTGAAAAACGTAGATTACGTGACGCTAACTACAGATATTTGGACAGAAACTAAAAACACACGGAGCTTTCTTGGTGTTACCGTTCATTTTCGTGATAAATCTCAATTGGTCTCTGGAATACTGGGTGTATATGAACTGACTGAAAGTCACACTGCGATACATATCAAAGAAAAGCTCGAAGCTGTATGTACTGAATGGGGAATTGGTAAAAGCATTATTACAGCGATCGTTACTGACAATGCGGGAAATATGGTGCTTGCTGTCGATTTACTTCTTGGGAAAAATCATCGCTTGAGCTGTTGTGCTCATACTATAAATTTGGTAGCAACGGATGCTATGAAGAAAATTGACGGATTGGATGACGTGATGCTACCGACTTGTTGTGTAAAAAAAGTAAATTGAAATTAATTCAAGATGTAGAAACACACTGGAATTCTACATTTTATATGATTGAAAGATTCGTCGAACTTCGAAAAACTGTAAACGGAATTTTAGATGATTTTCCCTCTGCGCCTCCTGCAGTTACTGCTGCCGAATTGGAAATACTAAAAGAACTGATAACAGTACTTCGTCCTTTGGAAGGCGCTACGAAAGATTTGTGTGGCCAAAAATATGTCACAGCAAGTATGGTGATACCACTAATAAATGGATTGCAGAGAGACTTTGAGAATCTGGTTCTTGAACACGAAGTAGCTTTAGTTTTAAAAGACAATCTTTTAAAAGAAATTTCTCGCAGATTTGGACTCATGGAATCCTGCCACTTTTTTGCAATAGCGACAATTTTGGATCCGAGGTTCAAAAAAGTGGTGTTTAAGCAACCGACAGATTGTACACGTGCACTCGGCCAGATCAACAGATTATTTCAGGAAAAGAATAACAATTCTGCAGAACAAGAACCGGATACTGACGGAGATACGAATAATGAGCCAGAGGGTATGTAAATTGATATGTATGCTTATTTAGTATTTCCAAATATTGTTATATAATTTAAAATCCGTTTAAACAATTTTTTTTAAATAAATATAATTAACTTTTTTACAGAAAGTAAAGAAAAATCTTCACTTCGGAAATTTCATTCGGATTGCGTGCAAAATGCCAAGCGAGCAAGAAGGGACATTCCAGATAATGTATATCCTGATGAACTAATGCTTTATCTTCGGTCTTAAATTGCCAACTACGAAACTGATCCTATACAATTTTGGGTGGAAATGAAACATATTTACCCTACACTGTCTCAGATTGCGTTAAAATATCTGACAGTAGTTGCCACATCCGTACCTTCAGAAAGGTTATTTTCGAAAACTGGCATTTTGATGAACGATAAAAGAAACCGACTTGAAGGAAGTAAACTTCACAAGCAACTTTTTTTGGGAGCAGTCGACGAAGCTCTTTGGTAAATTTAAGACCCGGCATCCTGTGTGAAGACTATGTGTTCTAACTTTTAAGTAATTTCTCACCTTCATTTACTAACATTTCATTTTTATAATAAATTGAAAATCTTATATCAAGTACCTTAACAAAATGCAATTTGTTTTCTGTTCTAGGATGATTAAAGCGGTTAATGACACTAATAAAATTCGTCAATCTCGAAAAAAGGTTGCTTCGTATCTAGTGCAGTCACCTGTTATTGACAGTACATATTTCGAGTAAGTATTAAAAGTACTAGACATTAAAACATAAAAATTTTGTCATAATCTGATAATAAAACAATTTTTTCAGTTGAAGTGAAATAACCAGGAAGGAAGATCGGCAAGCAGATTGTGATGAGTTATAAATATAAATTTCACAATTTTTATATTTCTCGTTTAAATTTTAATTTCTCGTCTATTTCTCGTTCTTTTTTAAGTTTAAAAGTACTTAAAATGTTGCATAATAATAAATTTAATTCAACTGAATCTTTGTAAATTATTTTAATTAGATGGATGTTACTGTTGTGTTTAATTATATTAAATTGAAGATTTTTTATTTTTTTGAAATTTTTATTTTATTTATTTTTTATTATTTTATTGAAAATAATAAACTAAATTTTGTGGTGACGGGAAATTGGCCTAAAAAATCTTCAATTTGTAAATTATGTTTATTTACGTAAAAAATTTCAAAATTATATCGATTAATCGAAATATCGATATTGTTGACCCGATATATTGTCATATCGATATTCACTACAAGCAATATCGATTTTAATCGATATCGATATTTTCATTTCGATATTGCATCACTAACTTAGACAATCTTTGAGACTACAATCATGTTCATCGGACAAAAATACAATGAAAACCATTTAGATAAAAAATTAAATTAATTAAAAACGCACCATGTAGAAACTGAGTCAGTATACATGATGCTCCACGAGAAAAGGGACTGTATTGAAAAAGTAAATAAGCTCCCTTTTCTCGTGGAGCGTCATATATTTTCAGTTATGGGAAAATGAAGTATAGTTATATATAACTGGTTATTCTATAAAGTTTTACTACTCAGTGTTAGATAATAATTAGAGTAACATATTATATAAATTGTTTAATTTTTGGTGTATTTTAATTAACTTAAACATAAGTGAATAAAATAATTCTAAGTATTGTTTTTAAAACAAAAGAAGTCACTTTTAAAAATATTCTTTATTTTTATACCAGCAGTTTCTGGGTCATAATGCAATCCCCTTTCCTTTCTCAGGCACCGGCATGTTGCTTTCAAAATACCAATAGAATGTTCAACATTTGCCCGTGTGTATTTTAATGTTCTATTAAATCTATCTTCTGGGGAGTTTGTTACAGGATTTTGAACTGAGGTAATTAATACAGGACTGCAGCCGTAGCCCGAATCTCATAGTATATATATTCGTATTTTATGTTATTTTGGGAATAATTCCAATAAAATTTAATATATTTTTTTGCTAATTATCTATCAAGGAAATTAGCAGAGAACAAAAATACACGAAAAATTAGTTTTTAACCCCTTCAAAATTGAAAATTTAACCCCTTCACCCTTCAATTAAGCTTTTGTGCCACAAATGTGCGAAATTATTTTAAAAAAATTGGTATTACCGTACTAGGTTTCTTGGGGCGCTAAAGCCAAATCTTTAATTAAACTTGAAAGAAATTTTAAATGACCGCCATTTTGAATTTTTTATTTTTATTGGAGATTTTGATCCAATCATTTCATTGGTATTCAGATGAAATTGATTTAAAGTAATTATTTAAAAATGATTCTATAACGTTTATGTACTTTAGTGTCACAAACTATAGAGGTCAATTACAATGAAAGGGTTAAATTACGTAGCATACACATTAATAGCGCCATATTCTAGGTCATTTAGCATTTGTTTATTTTAAACTTTAACAATAATAAACAAATGTTCTTTCTAGAATTATTTAAATACATTTCTTGAAGAAAAATGCATTTAAAGTTAAATATCACACCACACTTACATACACTGACTTTGCAAAAAAAAGAGCAGTTTATAGTAATTTGAAAGATATGAAACCAAATGTGATTTTGAACTTTTATTACCTATGAGCCAAAATCTTCTCAAACCTTCTGCATACTTTTGATTCATAAAAGCAGATAGAATGGAATTATTGTATACCCTAGCATCATTTGCTCTGCCACCATATCGTGCATTTACAGCTAATATTTTATTATCAGCATAAGATACCTATTAATACAAAAATAATATGATTAACTCTAATATTAAAAATGATATTAAATGATAATGTCCGCCAGAGGAAATGATCATCATTTTGACATATGAAATGTCCCCCATGATTTTCCCTTTGAAATGAAGCATTTAAATTTGCGCTTATTTTGCGAAAAATGGTGCGGCCCACTAGCGAACAATCTTTAACTTAAAAAATAATATTTACGATCATTGCATTTAAAGAATGAAATCCCTTGCGATTAAAATACGTTTCTTCGATATCACTATTTGGTGGTGTAATACATATGTGAGTGCCATCGACTACTCCAACCACGCCCGGAAATCCATATGTTTCTTGAAATCTAAATTTTACAAAATATATATTATATATTATTAGTTAATATGCTTTATCGACAACCCAGTTTTAACCTTCAATAGAGTTGGTGTCGACGCTAAAGTCGAAAATTTATTTTTTTAAATTTTAAAAGGTTTTAGGAGGAGGACTTTTTGAGACCTTGATCTATAGTAAAAACATTTGTTACTTGGGTCCAATGTAAAAATAGTTTTCGACACTGAGAGTCGATATATGTTGAGCATGATAAAAAACACCAAGCCCATACCGGGAACCAAAGTGTATAGTGCCAACGCTCAACATAAATACTACTACTACCGGGAACCAAAGAGATCACCCATCTGAGTACTAACAGTACTCTTGACGGCTTGACCTCCGAGACCACTAGCCAACGTGCTTCTCAACCCAAGCTTAGGTATGGAAATAAAAAAAATAGAATACCTGTTTCTCACAATTTCCATTTCATCACGAGTTGATGGAAATTTGATCCATCTGTGCATTATTTGCTGTATAGCATCAATAGTACTTCGAATTGAACGACTGATTGAAGTTTGACTCATACAAGGATGCACAGAATTACCAACTCTTCGTTGGTAAGAACCAGAAGCTAAGAAGTCTAGAGTTGCAAATATCTAAAATTTATATTGTTGTTTTGAGTATTTTATATTTAATGCATTAAAAACTCCTTAACAAGACTGGAATTAATTTAAACTATTTATAAATTCTATTAAATTCGAGAAATCTATCTTATTTTTAATTAGAGTTATGGAACAGAAATATACAAATTCATATTAGGGTAAGTGTATCAGTTACTGCGCGGTTCTAGTCAAGTCATCTTTTGTATAGAAAATACGATAATTATGTTAAAGAAAATAAACTTACGACTTATTAAACTTTTCATTAATGTTATTCAGATATTTATAAAAAAACATTAAAAACCTAGAAAAATAGATTATTTCAGCAAATTTAATAAATTAAAAGTAATATGCAATGATTCTATTGCTGCGCGGTTGCATCAATTGCTTTGCGTTAAATGCTTCCTCAAAAATAACATGTATTTAAAGGTAAGATTTCAGCACAGTAAATGAAGCATATGCATTTGCATTATTTGCTCCAGTTTCTGCGATAAGAAAAATTTAATCTTTAATAATTAAATTAATAATAGTTTAAATATTCTTTCAAGTGCACAATAATTATATTAAGTTATGTTGAAAATAATTTTTTCAATTACTTTTAACATGCTTTATTTTCTACCATAATAAATAATAAGATTTTTCAATAGGTCGCAGTAACAGACTCGCAGCAATTGACACACTTACCCTAGTTTTAATTTAGTTCGAGAAAATAAATAAAAAAAATTATCAAGCGGAATCGATCCTAGACTTTCTATTTTCGTTAAAAGTTTGTGCAAGATGACCAATCTACTTATAAAATTAAATGAAAAAAATTACACTCTTGAATTCAAACTGGAAAAAAATTAAGTGGGTTTGGAAATATCTAAAATAAATTCCATAAGAAGAATAAAACTTAGAGTTTTATACGTCCATAATGTATTATAATTATACAGCTAATATTTTTTTCAGTTAAAATTCAAAAAAATATCTATACATGCTTTATGGTTATTTAATTCAATTTTAAATAACATTTTGCAAAATAGAAAATTCATCTAAAATAAAAAAATATATATAAATTAATTACAGAGAAAGCCAACTTTTAATAGCGTTACATAAAATAAAAATAATATTTTCATATTCATGTCACTCATTTGAGACTATTTTATTCAAATTTTTTCTTGTTTTTGATTTTAATTTATTCTACTTTAAAATTAAAATTATATCAAATGTTATATTTTTGTAGTAGTTTAAAAATTCTTGAATATGATAATAATTCACTTTCTATGATATCTATCCACATCAAATCGAAAACCATTTTACCACCTATTACTCATCTCACCATTATTTTTTGTTTTTTTTACCCTTAAATGACACTGTGACTATTTTAACCCCAAATCACTTTTATATATAATTTTATAATTTTTTCTGGTCAAAATTCGATTTACCGCTTCATTAACCGTCGAATGAGATGTAACTCTCTCTAACTATGTATCTGAATGACTCAAGGTATCGTACAATTAATTCCGCCTTATATACAATCGAAAATGAGATTCTGGTCAAAGTGAAACCATTGTGTTATTATGTATATTTAAAATTAATCAAATTTTGGATTTTTTAGTGTTAAATTTAAAAAATTTTGTATAACTAAGGTTGTATCTTTGTTTTAAAAGCCAGAAATATATCTGGAACAAACTGGCACCATTGTACTTATTCAGAAATGTTTATCTGCCTCAAACAAAAAAATATAATTTAAAATAATCTTACATTTCAAATCAAAATGGTGTCCGATTTAGTGCGAAATTTCTCTTATAAATATCATTGTTATAAAATATTATAATCATTGTTATAAAAATAAAATAATTTTTTAACCTGCAGATGCAATGGAATTCCTGTCGATTTGTGTTTTACTGGCATGAATGGTCTTATTTCTTCAATTAAGTTTCGGGTTGCAACTCTTGACAAACTAATTGTTTAAAATATTATTAAAAACAAGGATTTAAAATTTTCAAGTTAAATTGAGCATAATAAATTTGATATCAATTAAATTAAATTCTATTATAATTTAGAGTATGAACTTTGTTAGTAAAAATTGTAACCTAAATAAAAATAACTTTTTAACAATAAAATAAATGTTAAAGTTGTATAACATAAAATACGATATATATACGTATAACATAAAAAACCGATATGTCAAAGACAATCTTTAGGAAATATTAATCTGTGTATATGAATAAATTTTTCAAATTTAATTGGCTTGCCGATAAATTCTTCTAAATTCATTTTCTGGTAATTCAAAGGTATTACTTTCATCTCTTAAACGTCGTCTAAAAATAATTAAATCACGTTTTCTTTGTTCATTGTCTCGTTGAATTTGTCGAAGTAAAATATATTCTTCCATTTTTTTAAATATTCGTAAATATCCTGAATTAAAAATAGCGCGATTTCGTCAGCAATAAATAATAAACCTGAAAGGTTAAATAAATTTATTAAAATAAGAAATTAAAAAGCAATTATCAAAAGAAATCAACAAAAAATAATATATGTTTACAATTTCATATAGACTACAATTTTATAGTTTTACTTTTAATTATAATATTACTGAAATTGTATATGTAGTGGTGTGAATTTAAAATTTTTGAATTGGAAAAATTAAATGACATTTAAAAATTATTTTACTCAATTACCCGATTCTCTTGACCTAAGAAAATTATAGAAAATCAATGAGAATGTTTAAAAAAATTTGTTTAATTAGTACGTAATTAATGACTTTTAAATATTAAAATATCTCCTATGTACTTTTTTTTTAATTTTTATTTTAATTATTTTATAACATTTGAAGTATTTTAAATTTTGTTTTTGAAAACATACTAAGAAATGAAGTTATAATTTTAGTATAATAAAATGTCGCAATTGTTTTTTGGCGTCTGTTGACTGAAATTGACAGTTATTAGTATCATTTGCAATGAATTATTTAATACGGATTGAATAATTGTTCAAGAATTTGAAATTTGACGAAAAGCTACTCCAAAGTTGGTGAAATATAGAAATCAAATTTTCTAGTCTTTTAATTTTCAATTTACAAAAGTATACTTTTACATAATTGCAACTGTAGTCAATATTTTCGTTTTAAATAGAAATGTCGACTGATATGTCAAATTTACAACGAGAAATAATGCTTCATTTCATGGCAAATAATCGTAGTTTGGCGATCAATGATAAAGGAAAAATTACTGTTTCAAATCAGGTTTGTTGGATTATTAATACAATTATAACTTGCAATTTTTAAATGTCATTTAATTTTTTCTTATTAAATGAAAATTTTTTTTATTATCTTAGAATAATTTCTATAGAATTTGTAAAATATGTACTTTCAAAATTTATTGCAAAATTTTAAGTATTCATATTTGGAAAGATTTTTAATTTTCTAATTTAAAATTGTGAAAATTAATTACAAAAAAATATTAATTTATAAATGGTTACCATTCTAATTAATTTTACTGAATTATTTTTATTTATTAGAAAATAATTAACAATCAAATTTTTTATGGCAAAATAATATTTATACAATGTAAAATATTTAATAAATTTGTATATATTCAGAATTCAATAATAACGGTGTAACATTTGATTTCACAATTAACCTCATAATATCAAAAAACAACACATTCGGTATAAACGTCGTGGAGTAAAAACCAATTTATTCAAAATATTTCATTTTTTCATATTTAAAATAAAAAATTTCGGATAAGTTAGACTTCAATAGGATTAATTGTCTTTTTACAATAATATCTTACAAATATAAAATTAATAATTATATGATAATTAAAGGTTATTTAAACATTTTAAGTTTATTTCTGTCAGGTTAATTACATAATTATATTACAGAGGTAATATTACAAAAATATTTTGATCACCTCTTCTTTTTTTTTAAACACATGTAATTCACAGTTATTTAACCTTTTTCACCAATATAATTAATTTTTCTTACTAGTCCACCTGTAATATTATATTTGGATAAAAAAATTAAAATATTTCTCTATCTAGAAGAAATTGTGGAACATTTTAACCACGGTATTGAACATGGATTCAAATGGTCAAATAAATACATTAGAATCGTGGATGAAGGTAATATTAATATTGCTCATCATAAATAATACAAAGTCTCGAATGGATGACAAAATTTGTTTCATTAATAGTTTATTCATTGTGTAAAATATTGTTTTAACAAATAAAAGGTTAATGTTTTTTATTTATTTTTACAGAACAAAGACAAAGGGCATTTAATTATATTTGTAAAAATAAAATGTAAATTTAAATTATATAAAATAAAAATTAGTTAAATATTTTATTTATTGTCATTTGCATAATTAAATTAGATTTAAAATATTTTTAATCAATTTTAATAAATAATGTCATATTTCAGTTAAACAAACGTAGATTTTTTATTTAAATAAAATGATTATTGAAAATAAAATTTCATAACATTTAAAAAGTCATTAGAAAAGTAGTTTAAGAAAGTGAAACTTATCTTTTTTGTCATTTTTCACTTCTATTCTTCGAACAGTCTAAAAATTTAGCATACATTGATTTTATTGCTAAAAAATTTAAATATTACATGCCATAGAGTCATTTTTTTTATTTCTTGATTGATCAAAAAATCAATCAGTCTACTGTAGTAGATAGTATATTACTTAAAGAATGTAAAACTTAATTACATTGTAAAAAGTAGAAAATTTTTAATTAAAAGATTATTACATAATAAAACAATTTCTTAGATTTGGAACAAATGGAAAGGTGATCTCAAATTAAAAATACGAGATGAGAAAAAGAATTTTGAAGCTACAGGAGGAGGATCGCCAATTTCAATTGAATATGAATATTTAGACGATCAATTAATGATACTTCTGTCCAAAGATAAAAAGTAAACTTTTATCTAATATAATAATTTATTATTGTTGATTTTATCACAATTTTTTTTCATTAGTTGCGATATAGTTCTTCCAAAACCTAAAGAGTGGGAAATAAATGCTGTGAAGCAATTGATGTCAAATGAGGGCATAATTAAAAAGAACAGCTTGACAGATGTAACAAAAGTGAGTGATTAGCGATGGTAACAGGAACGAATTTTTTAACAGTTTAACATTTTTTATTAAACATAATTTAAAAAATTTGATTTATAAATTTATTTTTTAGTTAATTCGAGAATAAAAATAATTTTTTAATTATTTTAATAATTTAAATAAACGTTAATTTTCCTGTAGACTAGAAATTCAAAAAAGAAAGATGTGGCTGAAGAAAAGATTACTGTAAATGATTCTGACGATGATGACGTTATTTTTGTTGAAGACAATAATTCACGTCAACAAGAGAATGCTGATAATGCCAATTTATTCAAAGAATTTGGGTTAACTCTACATGAACCAAGCCAATCGAATAAGGCAACAAGTGCTTCTGAAAACAGTAAATTTTACAAATATATTTTAAGAGAAGGGTCCGGTGAAATTTCAACTTATTGATATTTACATTGTCTAGGGGAGGTCAACTTATTTTCCTTCAGTATAATATTGAGTATTAAGAATTATGACGTGCAATGAAATTTGCAATGAGAATAAATGATTAGTTATTACATAAAACACAAAATTATAGAAAAATGGAAATTAGATCTTCATTTATAGTTTCCATTATTTTTCATTGTCATTAGTTTTATATGCTTTTTCATGATTGTCACCCATTAAAAATATATTAATATAAAAAAATTTCAATTTTTTCGAAAAATAAATTTTTTTCAAAAAAGAAGAAAATTGAAAAATGTCCAAGAATAATTGTTTTTTAATTTTCTATAACAATATATGGTTTCAGGCACTATAAATGTACAAAAAATTGACAACTTTTAATTGGTTGAAATTCTAGTTGCTCTTCTTTATAAATTACAATTCTCTACAATTTTTTAAATTTTTTATTGTTCACTTTTTAGAAAACTTTTTTTACCCCTCTAAATAATTAAGTGTATAGCTTTTTAAATATTTTTATTGTTTCAAAAAATAAAAATTATAAAATGATAAAAAATAATATTTTTCAAATTTGGATATTATAGAATAATTTAAAATTTAAAATTTTGCCCAAAAAATTGACTCATGTCAACAATATAAATGAAAGTTTAAAATTCCACCGGTACTTAATCAATAATAAAATGTACTAAATAATATCATATTATACTTTTAACCCTTACTTATCGAGTCCGAGGTCAAATTTTCTGCACTTTTATTTTTCTAATATTTTTCATAAAATTTTTTTATTTTATTTAATATAATAAATATTACGTATATATATATATATGTTTAAAATTAATGATTTTTTCATTTTTTTCTTCTTTTACTTTAACATTTTTTTAAGTTACCTAATAAATTTAATTTTTGTCTATATAACATACATTATTCTTAAAAGTAATTCTTTAATAAATTTCAAAATTTGGCTAGTAAAAATAATTAAGTCTTTTAAAATAAATTTTCGCATTTTGAGTCCAACGGAACGCGATGTGATTATAGTGTATTTATTAATTGTTTGAAGTCCGTAGACTTATACAATGGAGTTCGCACTGATTTACATATATTCCAATATCTTGTACATAAATTTCGCTGTTTTTTTAATTGTAACTGTGTCTGGGTTATTTAAGATTTCAAGCCAAGTGTCTTTTAATTCGTT